TTTAGGGGTGAGAGGCAATTATGCCTACCACTATACCACAGGCGCCGCGCCACGTACTCCGCTTCGGTAGACGAAAGAGTTACGCATGGTTGTTTTCGGGCTGCCCAAGTGATTGATCCTCCAAGACAGAAGACCGGTGTTTGATTTCCGGTCTGTCATGTCACCAGCCCAGTCTGCATCGACGTATTCTTCCAGCGGTCCGGATGACCCTAGACGTAGGCTACAATCCACTGTTGAGATACCGGAGCGTCCGTTTTGCTTCGGTCCTGTCTGATTCCGTTGGTCGACTCACCTTGCGGCCCAGAATTGAGGCGATGTCCGGTCTCGTGTTGACCGCGATGTATAGAAGAGCACCCACCAGGCTCTGGTGGGTATCGGCGAGCGCTTCGCTTTTGATTGTCCGAACCGTTCGGCTACTTTCTGGATGTAGATTTGTTGGTTCAGGAAAAACTGTCGGCTGGATCTTGTCACTCGGATTCCCAAATAGTGTCGCACGTCTCCAAGGCACGTAATGGTAAAGTGCTCCGCTAAATGCTTCCGGACGGCTTCGTATTCCACTTCTGTGTTAGTGACAATCAGCATGTCGTCCACATATAGTAATATGAACGTCTTCTTCTTCTTCAAAGTTTTTACGAACAGGCATGGGTCTGCTTCAGATGGTACGTTGTCCAGCTGCTTCAAGACTTCGGTGATTTTTTCATTCCACACCCTTTCAGCCTGCTTCAGACCGTAGAGACTTTTTCGTAGATGCAGTACGTTGTCCTTGACCCCGTTATGGAATCCTACCATAGAGGTAACTCTAAGACTAGTAGGTCCCGAAGAAATGTGCTCAACTTTTTGGCTCAGCTCTGGTACTATCTTCGGTCCCAAGCTAATCAATTCACCCCTCGAAACGTAGGATAACCCCTCGAAATCCAATAATCCCTCATTTTATCTGTCAAACTTTCATAGCGAATCAAAACAAACATAGTGTATTACTGTAATTTTGACTAGAATGGGATACGTTAATCGATTTTCTTTGGGACCAATGGTGTCAAGTGGTGAGCTAATTTAAAATCGTTAGTTTCGAATTAATTGTTGATCCTACCGGCTGCTTCATGAAAATGGTCTCCTCCAGCTCTCCGTGTAGGTACGCCGTCTTCACGTCGACGTGCTTCACCAGCATTCCTCGTCTGGCGGCGACACACAGCAGGGTCCGAAAAGTGGTTTGCTTGGCGACTGGCGCAAATACCTTATGGTAGTTGGTTTCGTATTTTTGATTGAATCCTTGCGCTACCAGCCTAGCCTTATAGCGGATCAGGTTTCCGCCCTCGTCCATCTTCTTCGTGAATACCTATTTGCTGCCAATAGCCTTCTTGTTTGGCGGCAAACGGACGACATCCCATGTGGAATTCTCTTTATGCGCCTTCATCTCTTCCTCCATGACTGCCTCCCACATGTTGCGCTCGGGGCTAGCCATTGCTTCTTCGAATGTGCGTGGCTCGTCGACATATTGCGCTGCTATGCGCACGGTGTCTTGGTACCGTTCTGGCGGGATGCCCTTTGTGGTACACTCCGATCGTTGGACTACTGGTACATCAACTTCGCCGACGACGTCTTGCTCCTCCTGATAGTCGGATGTCTCAAGCGCCTCCTGCGCTTCTGTTTCCACAAACGTCTCCGCATTAGCATCGTCGTAGCTGGTCTCAAACCCGAGTAGATCGAACTCATCCGATACGTTCACGCTCTCGTCCTCGTCGAACCCGAGTAGATCGAACTCATCCGATTCGTCCTCGCTCTCGTTCACGTTTGCTGGTCCCCGACCTCAGCTTTCGGTTGCTCTAGGAGTCTAGATGTGTAATCAACGATACTTCCCTTCTGAGGTTCGGCACTCCGAACCTCGTCCAATGGCAGGAACCTGCAGTCCCGACTGACGGTCAGCTTGTCGTTGTCCGGGTCCATGAATCGGTACGCCTTGTGTTGGGAGGAATAACCAACGAGCAGCAACTTCCGAGATTTCGCTTCCAATTTGTTTCTCTTCTCTCCAGGGATCCACACGTACGCCGGTGAACCGAACATCTAGAGGTGGCTCATGTCCGGCTTCGTGCCATACCACAGCTCGTACGGCGTTTTCTTCAGCGGCTTCGTCGGCAAACGGTTTTGTAGATAGTTCGCAGTGTTAACCGCTTCCGCCCAGTATTTCAACGGCATTCGGGAGTCCAGTAGCATGCAGCGCGCCATTTCCACCAGTGAGCGGTTCTTCCGCTCCGCAACCCCGTTCTGCTGCGGTGTAGGCGGTGGTAAATTGCTGACGTATCCCCTGCGCTCGGCAGAACGCATCCAACACGTCACTCCGAAATTCACCTCCCTGGTCGGAACGGATGATCTTCGGGGGTTTTTCCAAATTCCGTCTGGGCGAACTTGACGTACCCTTGAATACGCTGGAAAAACCTCGGACTTCTGCTTCAGGAAATATACGACGGTAAACCGGGTGAAGTCGTCAATCATGGTGAGAAAATAACGACACCCACCGGGTGTCACGGTTTGCATGGGTCCACACACATTGGTGTGAATAAGGTCCAATGGTTGCTTGGACTTTGGCTTCGACTTCTTGGGGTACGGAAGACGTGTCAGCTTGCCCTCAAGACAGCATTCACAGACGACTCGGCAGCCGCACTCTTCCATCTCGATTCCAGTTGCCAAACCCTTGGTCACCAGCTCACGGACAGCTTCATGGTCACGATGCCCCAACACACGGTGCCAAGTGTGCTGACAGTTTGACGGCCAGTGCTTCCTGGGGTACCTTCAGGGAGTACAGTCTCCCAGAAATCGTTGCTGCCGCAATCACCTTCTTGTCCTTCAAGATTCGACATCCGTTGACGTCGAAAATGACCGTAGCTCCGTTTGCCGTCAGCTTCTTCACGGAAATCAAGCTCGATTCGAAATTCGGTACCAGCAGCACCTCCTTGAGGGTTACTATTGATGGCTCACCCTCCGGAGACAGCATAGTTACCTGTCATGGACCGATGCCTTCCGCCTTCGTCGCAGTACCATCGGCCAAAATCACGTCCTGCTTATGACTCTCATTCAGCTCAATAAAAATTGCCCGATCCACACACAAGTGCGACGTTGCACCGGAATCAATGATCCATGAATTTGATACCGTTGCAGTTCCTCTCGTCGCGAACGAATACTTCTTCTTCGGGGTTTCATCGCGAGCTGCTCGCACCCGTGGTTGGTTTCGCTGGCGATTTGATGATTTCCGTTCGCTTGTCCGCTTCTCGGCTAGTCCAGTCCGCCGCTCGAGCAACGTTTTGCCACCTCGTCGACCACCTTGGATTTGACCAGATCCAGCGTTAACTCGTCGTTGGACCTGTTTTCCAACGTCGTGGTCAGAGTCGAGAACGATTCCGAAAGACTCCGGAGCACAATAGCTGCCTGTAAACTTTTGCTCAGTTTCTCTCCAGTCAGCGTCAGCCTCTCGAACAGACCCTCCATTTCAAAAATGTGCTGCTCGATGTCTTCTCCGTCGGAATAGCGCTTCTCGCAGATTTGTTGGAGAATCGACACTTTGGACGTCAGTGTTGCCTTTTCGTAATGTCCCGGCAGCTTCTCCCAGGTCACTTTCGCCGTTTTGCAGTCCTTGATTAGGTTCAGCTGGTTATCCTCTAGCAGGAGGCCGATCGTCACCCGCGCCTTTTGGTCACCGCTGTTCCACGCTGTCCTAGTAGCTTCAGTGGCCGGACTGGTAGTGATGTCCACCGGCCCGTCACCGGTAAAATACTTCCACAGGTCTTCTTTAATTAGCAGGAACTCAACCTTGTTGATCCAGACGCTGTAGTTCGCTCCGTTGAGTTTCATTATGTCCAATCTCTCCATCGTGAAATTTTTTTCAGTTGTTCAGTTTCATGGTAACGTCCTCTCTAGCCTGGGCCCATAACCTCTTAGAGGAGGGAGTTAATACGACCGGTTGGGTTGAAACATGAGACTAAACTATACTTTATTGATGCAGTATTGACATTTATAGCATACTAGGATTATTATAATTTCACCGAGTTGCTTCGATCTCCTTCAAAAGTTCTAGCCAGTCAAACTGCCCTGGTTGGGTCAAATTCACTAAGAATAGATCACATTATATTGATTCTATAACATTCCCCAGAAAACCATTTCCCAGAATCTCATTCCCCATAATGAACCATTCCCCAGAAAAGTGTGTCATGTATTAGATTGACTATTTGTTTATTATAGTCACTCGTGGAATCTTCTTTCGCGTATATAAAAAGAAGAGAAAACTTTTTAATGGGTCAAGATGTTTTAGAAGACCTTAATGGATCAAGGGGTTTTCCCTTCTTTGAAAATATAAGAAAAGAAAATAATTAATTCTTTGGATATGCGATAAAGAAGGGAATATTCCCTTCTTTTAATATATAAAAGAGAACATAATTAATTCTTTGGATGAATAATAGAAGGTAATATTCCATTCTTTAAATATATAAGGAAAATATATAATCAATAGCTTCGGGATACTGACCATTTGGGATAATAACGTGTGGATCAATGCTATAAATTTGTAATCGGTAGTTCAACGTTCCATGCACCGATTTTTTAATCCATCACGAGAAATTTCAACTCAGGTCGAACAATCCTTCGATAAGGTTTAACAGTTTCCGACTGGTTGAATTGGATTGCATAATAGACCCTTTGACTTTTTGAATGATGAACGAAGCGCTCGAAAACTTGAAGGTTGGCATTTTCTAAAGAGCTATAAAATGAATTGGAATTGATGAATACATAGTTCCATAAAAGTAAACGTAGTGTATCAGTAAAGTGAAACTAATCAGAGAGTTTTATCATGAAAAATATATTAAATCAATTATGTATATATTAAGCTGTTCTGTAATATAACACTGAAATATAATATCAAATGACCAAAAAAGGTGATAAATTACCAATTTCATCATCTTTTCTGGGGAATGTTCTAGAATCCATTATATTATATAGGAATTCATGTTTGGACTTACCTCCTCCGTTATTGTAGCACAAGTACGGGAACCGCCACACGTTTCCCAACCCGACCGAGTACCCCAACAACGAAAGCAGGAAGTCAAATCTTCCCGTCCAAGAACCACGTTTCGTAAGTACTTCATCCTGTTCTTGGGCGTCGTCATCCTGCTCGTACAATCCCATTCTACGAGTTTGCTGTTGCATTGCAGCATTGTTCGCCACCCATGTACCGGTCAACGCGCTGACATGGCGTGGCTTTGCATTCTGTGGAGCAGAGCATCAAGCAAATGTTTGATCGAATTTAGAACAATCACCCCGAACTGTACCTTGAGACGATCTTCCATTGGTAGAGCACACTGATAGTATTCAAAGGTTCATACCGAAGCTGCAGAGACGAACACTGAAACTGACTGATTGATGAGAACAGCGCGGGCGGTAAACCGATTATTGCAAAAGATGATGCATCTCGATTATGGAAGCGGGATTTGGCAAGCACATGTTAAACATCTTACATGTGCGCATGAATTTCCGAACCTCGATAACTTGTTTGTACTGTTAGTTGAGTATTCAACGTTGGCATACGTCAGCGAAGCAGATTTATCAATCAGGTGGTAATATTAGTTCATGGAAATTTTCATTCTAAACATTGTACCGCGTACAACGACTATACAAGGATGTTCGGATAGTGGCACGTAAAATACTAGAAACTTTGCAAAATGGACTTTGCCTAGAAACATATCCTTATTAACATTCGATAGTAGCTATCAACATGAAGCTTAAATAGTATATTTTCTTATCCTGAGGAACTATCATCACGCTTTTAGTCTTTTATAGACTATGAGTGAAACAACCGCTGAAAGTAGGGAAAGCTTTAGGGCCCGGGCAAACCAACAAACCCGTCCGGTTTGGCAACGTTTTTTATCGACGTGTAGAACTAGTGGTGGTGCCGTCATGGTATGAATTCGTTTCATTTCCTCATCGAAGCTGGCAATCGCCTGTTGCAATTGATTTACCTTACGTAGGCAGTTGTCCAGCTCTGGCTTGAATTTAGTCTTGAATTCTTCAGCTGGCATCATTTGCGCTACGAAAATCAGCGAAGATTGCATCACGGTTAGCTGCTTGAGATGGTTGCTTAGCATTTCGAGAATATCATACGAACTGAAAGACATTGGGAATGTATTAAGTGATCAATAGATTCTAACGTATTTTCAACCGTCACTCACTCGTATAGATGATCTTGGGGAAACTTTTTCATACTTCGCTTGCTCCAAGCCTGCCGATGGAACTTTATTAAACCGAACAGAATCTTTTTCCGCTCAAATGGTAGCTTGAAGTCCAGATTCTTCAAATCATCGTCCGTCAGTGTTAGAAATCGTAGCAAATTAAAATCTTCCTTTGCAAACACTGTCAAGTGTTGCTCGCTATACATTCCGTACAAAAGCAGTCCAATCTCTTGGTGATATCCAGGCATTTCCTGTTCCGTCTCGCCTTGAGTGATATCCTGATAGTGAGCGTAGCTCAAGTACTTGCTAGGAATGTTGAAAAAATTCGTCTCGGTTGGAAACAACTCGGCAATTTCGAAGAAGCCTCTGAATTCAGCCTCCTGCTTCGGAGTGAATCCCCTTCGGTTCACAATGTCCGCAATGGCGCCAGCCTTCAGAAGCATCCTAACAACATCTTCCCGTCTATTGTTGACGGCATGGAACAGGGCAGTCAATCCTTCATTATCCGTTGCTTCTATTGCTACTTGATCAATAATCAATTTCACCACTTCCGTGTGATCGTTCATAATGGCAAACATAAGCGGCGTCACTCCGTAGGCATCCTTGCAGTTAATCACAGCTCCAAATTCCAGTAGCAGATCTGCTACCTTCAGTACCGCTTCAGGATTACGTTTGGACTCGCAAGCTGCCATCAAGGCAGTATTCAAACCGTACGGTTGATTCACATCAAGGCGCCGCTCCTCTAGCAAATATTTGACTATTTCATACTGAGCTTCGCTGCATGCTAGTAGCAACACAGGCCAACCTTGCCGCAGACAACCGGTCAGCAAATACCGATCAAGTTCCAGGACTCGTTTTACTTCGACCAAGTCGCCCTCTATGACGCCCTTGTACAGCAGATCATCGTTATTCTCTACCATCACCGGAGGTGAATCCTCCGTCCTTGGAGTTTCATTTTTTGCCTAAAAATTAAGTGGCATTATAATGAATAAAAACTAAGTTCAATAAAGCTCTCATACCTCTGATTTACTGTAACAAAAGTCGTAATCGAAATCGGAATCCCCTTCCGAATCGGAGAAATAGCCTGCCGGCCGAAACATGATAGACGCACTCAGTTCGAAAAGCACACTTTTATGATCATCTAAATTATATCCTTATTTCGCTCAATTAGTGAAAAATACGTGTATGTACTAATTTGTTTTACAAGTTTACGAATTCACAATGTTTATCGTATCGTATTATTACGCGGCAATGAACCAGAAACAACATTCTAATTTTTTTTAAAATGACATCTTATCAGTGAAGTGCACACGCTATTTTAAAACTCCCTAAATTTGGATAGAGTCGACCCAGATTGTTCAAAACTGAACCTACAGGTGAGGAAATTATGGTAAAATGGTATTCGTGTAGTGCAAAGTTTGTCATAGTGTTTGTGGAATATACCTTCCGTGTCATCAAACTCCACTTTTTTCATGTAAATTTTTTAGGAGTTTTCGTCATCACCGATTGTTTACCTCTTTTTTGCTACAATACCATCAAATACCCTTTTGTGGCACACCTGTATATACTCATTGACTTCAACCAATGAAGAGTATACACGGAGAAAAAATACTACCCAAAATTTGAGTTCTTTTTACTTAATATTGACTTCAGCTTCTCACTTGCACTCGTTATTGTTGTCAAAAAAAGGAACGAGAGATTCGACCCAACGATATAGTTCAGCCCAATAAGTTACTTTTGGAGTAAATTGCATATTCTCAAATTTACGTGAATTAAACTTAATTTTGGGTAGAATATATTGCGCATTTTGCACCAAATTAGACTCCTGTGCAAAAAATAATTGCACAGTAATATTTTCGCACAGGCCAGAAAATTTAAAAATCCACTTATTTGAAAGCAGTAACAGCTTTAGAACATTACTAGCAAGCTACACTGCTGAATTAAAGCTTTAGAAAGCATTAAGAAGCTCCATATTTAACTTTTAAGGCCAGTGCGAAAATATTACTGTGTACTTATTTTTAGCGCAGGAGTCTAATCAGGTGTGAAATCCGCAATACTTAAGGTTAGGTTATTTTTTTGCTGGTGTTAAATGGAAACTACTATATGCGATATTCTCAAATTTGGGTTATTGAACTGAACCCCGGAATCGAGGGAAAATTACTTAATTTTGCGTAGTTTTTAATCTCCGTGTATACACAGACAAACAGACATAACACTCGCAAGTTGTTCATCGAACAAGCATTTAACGGCCAATTTAAAAGTATCGTAGTTGGGTTCTTTAATTTTCAAAAAATGTCGGTATTTATAGATCATCTGAAAGAGCTTCGTTTTCTGAGCACAACGATATTTTTTACATCCATGTCGATTTTTAAATCAAGATTTAAAGCAAAATAATCACTTCACTGTTTGACACAAACCTAACAAAATTACATCTCACTCCCATACAAAGTATTTCCAAGGGGCGCTAAGGTGGTGATTTTTCCTAATGTAATCACACTTATTTAAAATAGTTCCAGTGCTCCAAAATTGATGAAATTTTGGATTTTGTTTCCATTTGTAATGCAGATTACGAAAATGCAATAACCTCAATACCCCTAAAGAACCCAGTTAGTAGTACCACCACCTGTGGCGCGCATACTCAATTCTCTTGCGTTTGACGTTTACACACTACCGCCATCTGTTCAGCGTACTCCTCACCACAGTGTACTCAACAGATGGCGATAACGTTTTAGCGACGCTGTTTTACAGTGAGAAATATTCAATGTGTTATGTCTGTTTGTCGGTGGTATATAGGTTAAATCTCGCGTCACTTTTCAAATAGACCAATGTAACATATCCACCTTAGAGTCGGTGTATAATGAGTCACGCCAAGAGAAAAACAGTTGAACTCGCATCACGGTTTTCGAAAGATTCCAATTCTTTTCACTTGGCAGCAGAGGACTTCTACAACAACTTCAACTGACTTCTAGCGAGAGAAAAAATACTGCGGCTGTAGTAAATCATTATATCAGTGATTTTGTCAAATTATCTTAACAAAAAATAGTAGAAATTCTCATTACTAATCATTACCGAGCGTATACCATGACAATTTAACGCTCACTGCGTGTTTATGCTCATTTCTTCGATTATATTTATTATTTTATTGCAATACCTTTCGTGAACCTTCCATAGCATCGTAATGTTTATTTACTTTGCACGATAGGTACACACAAAAAACAAAAATTGTTTTAATAAAAATAATGCCATTTCAAATTAAAAGTTTCATAAATTTCGTAATTTTACAACGAAAATATTCAAAATAAAAGTTATTTTTTTGGTTTGAAAGTTTTTCTTTCAGGTTCGACTTGTAATTTTAAAAGTGCATTTTTTTTAAATGAAAGTTGTTCAACTGTCAAAAATACATTTTCTAGGCAAAGTTTTTGGCAGCACTGGACCTCGTTTTGCCGCTTAATTTGGCTTGACGTCAGATGTGTCACGAAGAGCGAGGAAAAGTTGGGAAGGACAATAATTTTCCTCCATGGAAAATAATAATCGCATCAGGTAAGCGATCAAATTTAAGAACAATAGTAGAGTTTAATTAGAGATTTTTATTAATTTCAGATAAACCAAAACAATAGTCATCTGCGAGCGGACGAGATGGCTAGGAATGAAAGTGAGTGTTCAACGACTACTACAACAGTAGATGTTAAAGGTATATAACAATATTTAATTAATATTCCACAGAAACCCTCACCGAAAACGGTCTACGGTTGTCTTCTGTCCTTAACCCTGCATATGTGACATCACCATGTACCTGTTACTGTAGCAGGTTTACTCAAAGCGAGAATAGCTCCAAGACGCAATAACGTAAACATCAACAAAGATAACAATAACAATGTAAAAAAAATGGATCTTATCCTATTGAAAAATAATAATAAAGAAGATTGAATATTTATCCACTAAAATTAAAACCAATTTTTTTTTGCAAAATAAATATTTTTTGAAAATATTTTAATTTAAATTCAAAATGCCCATTTAATTTTAACTATGCCACATTTTCAAGTCAAAAATAATCCACCATTAATTTCAACACTAATATATTTTTCATTTGACAGTTCTACAATTCATTTTGAAAATTTGAACTTTTAAAAGTATCGAGCGGACAACTTTTGAATTGACGGTTGGTTGACTTTTATTTTGAAAGCTAACCGCTTTCTACCAAAAAGAACCAATGCAAACTTTTAAATCTACCAATGGTTTTTTTAATTTTATAAACGACTTTTCTTTGTGTGTAGCCGCTTTGACAGTTCAATAGGTAGACTTGGCTTCACTCTTGGCGTGACTCATTATACACCGACTCTAATCCACCTATTTGAGAAAATCGAAGTTGAAGTTAGACAGATTATTAATTTAACTGTTTAGAAACAATACATTTCGCAATACTATTTTTAATGTAGCCAGCGTATAATAACGTTGAAAATTCAGAAGAAACGGTAAAATCACAATTTTACTTTGAATTTCATTCTACAACATAGAAATAACCACATAGGGCGTTTTGACCAGTCGAGTTGTACATCGGACATGTTACATTGGACGATTTTTCTCAATGACATAATCAATGAGTCATTGGACGTTTTGTCTACATCATACTAGATTCCCTTTCACAGATTTCAGAGTATAGTACCTAACTTTAGATTGGCCCCGCCAATTGGACAATTTTTGATCAATGATTATTTTAAATAAATGAAAGTAAATTTGGATGGATGTTTTTGTATCGCATACAATGAAAGAAGAGCAATAGTTTGTATCGCTTAACTCGATTTGTTTACATTTGTTACATTGGTCTATTTGAAAAGTGACGCGAGAAATGATCATTAAATGCATTCGTATTCGTGGTATTCGTGCCCGAATACAGTAGTGCAATCACTGTAACTGGCAAGTACCCATTAATGGGTATAAAAGTACCCAATATTAGTAAGTATATGAAGCTGTCAAATAATGGGTATTTGAATATTTTCGAAAATGGGTTCTTTTGTACCCATCTTTTTGACCTCTTCAGGGAAGAAAAATGAGTATTATTTCACCCATTATTGGGTAAAAATTATCTTAATCAATAGTGAATATTGTCTAACACAAAGTATCTTACGAGGCCTTCAAAATGGATTTTTATGCTATCTGTGCCTAATAAAATGAGTATTGAAACGTAAGTTTTTATTTGGAATATATCTAGGCGCTGTACATTATGAAATTCAGATGAAATTTAATGATTTTCAATTGCTTAATTTCAGATATACAAGGAAGTGGCCGAGCACAAAGTGTTCCAGGAATGTTTGGCAAGAAGGAACTTCGGAAGCAAAAGCAACACATTGCACAGCAGGGACAGTGGATGCCAAGTAGGAAAGCGGTATGATCTTTCTAGGAGCACAAGAAGACTCTGCGGATGTAAGTGGCTGATGTATGAACCTCGCTGGAAGCGGCATTATTACAATAATTATTATCTAAATTAATAAAAACAAGTTTTTAATGTTAATGTTTCCGACATTTCAAAGAAATATGTGAAAAATCAAATTAAAATTAATTTCTAAATAGCTCAATCATCGAAAATGTAATCATTTACCCATTTTCTAAAACTTTTCATTTCTGAAAATGGGTAAAAATGACCCAATGATTTGACGTACAAGCTCTTTACCCATTATTGGGTAAAGACGTTTTACCCATTTTATGAGTTTACCTACTTTACTTCGAATTGGGTACTTTTTCACCCATTAATGGGTACTTGCCAGTTACAGTGATTGCACCATTTAAATCGAACAAGTGTGAGCTAGAGTCGGTGTATAATGAGTCACGCCAAGAGAAAAACAGTTCAACTCGCATCACGGTTTTCGAAAGATTCCCTTTCTTTTCACTTGGCAACAGAGGACTTCTACATCAACTTCAAATGACTTCTAGCGAGAAAAAAAATAGCGGCTGTAGTAAATCATTATATCAGTGATTTAATCAAATTATCTCAACCAAAAATAGTAGAAATTCTCATAAGTGATCATTACCAAACGTATCCCATGAAAATTTATTGCTCACTGTGAGTTTATGATCATTTCTTCGATTATATTTTATATTTTATTGCAATACCTTTCGTGGACCTTTCATAGCATCGTAATGTTTGTTTACTCTGCACGATAGGTAGCCGGTTTGACAGCTCAATAGGTAGACTTGGCTTCACTCTTGGCGTGACTCATTATACACCGACTCTAGTGTGAGCAAGAACACGGATACGAATTTTGTTCATGAATTATTCAAAGTGAATTGAAAGCATCTTTAAAACTAAAATATTTATGTTTGAATTAAATTCAAAAGCATGTTTATTTCAACAATATAGGATTTGGGTAAACGGTTTTTAGCGTGTCATGCCTTTTTATTTCCTTCTTGTTACACGGCGAATGAGAACGACTCAAATTTGAGTTTAGTTCACTCATAATCGCCAAAAGTGCAGGAACTCAGCGATGAGTTAATTTGCCTCATGTTTTCCCAGGTTTTTCCAGGATTTTCCAGGGAAAAATTCCCGAATTTGAGAAAAGTAAAGATTGGATTCACTCAGTCTATTGGTACTACTCCGAGACTGAATAAAATTTTCGTCAATTTCCTTATTTTCCGGCAGATTTTTTGGGTTTTCCACAGGAAACCATGGGACAAATTTTACTCATCGCTGAGTTCCTGCACTTTTGGCGATTATGAGTGAACTAAACTCAAATTTGAGTCGTTCGCATTCGCCGTGTACATTCGGAAAAAGTTGCCCCAGCTTTGCTCAATCTCAACAGAAAACGACAATCCATTCCGAATCCATTCCGGATCCTCCTCCGATACCGAACATGGAAAGAAACCGGTATGAGGACCAGTGGCAGAAACGGCAAAACGACGCTAATAACACAAACTTGCATCGGTTCCACTGAACTGGAACCCCCGGACACCAACCCCGACGGGTCCTCGCATCCCAGACTAGGACCCTCAATACCCACAGGTCATCCTTAATCGCACCCGAAAAAGAGCAGGAATTAAGATGCCCTGCCCGCAGATCTTTTTTTTTTCATTTCTTTGCAAACCGTTTTATTTTGCTTTACCCTGCACTCAACTACTAAAATAATTCCAAAATATGTATGTTTATTTTAAACATGAGAAGCATGTTTAAAATAAACATATTTATTATTGTTCGCATAGCTGTCAAACCAAACAAAAATAAATACGAATATTTTTGAAATAAACGTAACATTATTTTTATTTTAAACATTGATTTCACATGAATTCAAACATGGAATACGTTTGAAATCAACCTAATTTATGTTTGTGGCCAGAACAAACTGAGTTTACGTTTAAATTTCCTCAAATATTTTTGTTTCGACCATAGTTTTTTCTGCGTGTAGATTATCTTTTTTAGAATAAATTTTTATCATTTTTGATTCTATTTTAATAATTTTTTATTGAATTCTAATCTTTTTTGATTATATCAGGCATAACATTTGATAACGGCACAAAAGCATTTGTAAACAAACTTTCTAAGGCCCTTTCACGCGAACCAAAGAACGCCCACGCAAACCAATACCACTTTCGGAAAGCTGATAGTTGCCCCTATCCGAGGATTGCGTGGGCGTACTTTGGTTCACGTGTAAAGGGCCTTAGAAAGTTTGTTTACAAATGCTTTTGTGCCGTTATCAAATGTTATGCCTGATATATCAGTATTGAAAAAGAATCAAATTTAATACTGAAAAGATTATTTCGATTTTAATCATGCATGACTACTGCCGAAATAATCATGGCTCGGACTCAATAAGGTGAAGCGGCAATCTGCATACTTTTTAAGCTTTTTTGATTTAATTTATCTTTGAGTGTAGACCGAGGTGTATCCAATGTAACATATCCGACATTTTGAGAAAATCGAAGTTGAAGTTCGACAGATTATTATTTTAACTTTAGAAACAATACATTTTGCTCGACATTTTGCAATACTATTTTTAATATAGTCAGTGAATCACGGAACCAAATTTTGTTCATTTAATTCAAAACTATATATTTTTATTATATAAAATTATGAATAGTTCAAAGTAAATTAAAAACATGTTTTAACAAAAATATGCATGTTTGAATTAAATTCAAAAGCATGTTAATTTCAACAATACTTTATCTAGATAAACAACAAATGTAAACAAATCGAGTTAAGCGATACAAACTATTGCTCTTCTATCATTGTATGTGATACAAAAACATCCATCCAAATTTACTTTCATGTATTTAAGATAATCATTGGTCAAAAAATGTCAAATGTACAGTTTGAAATGATTGTTACTTCGGTCATTCGGACTGTCTAACATGATTGGTGCTCATTTTCTAAAGACGGGGCCCGAGATGGAAGATGACAGGTGGGCAGGAACTCACGGTCTTCCAGTGTTGGTGAGTTCTTTGCCGTTAATGTTCACGAAAAGTTCACTATTTTGCTATACAAAAATCAAAACAAAAATTTTTATCTGCGGTTTTGGACAGTTTTTGACCTGTTTCATACGACCGGAAGGTGTATGCTGGTTACAAATGCCGTGCCAAACTGATTTCCTACGCAATTAATCAATCTTTGATGTGAATTTCACTAATAAACACGAGGAGCATTTCTTATAGCAAACTTGCCATAACAAAATGGGCGATTCATTTTAGTAAACAAACTAAAGGCCGGCGCACAATAGATACGTTTTCGGGTTTTTTGACAGTTAGCCCATGCATTATCTGTCAAAAAACCCGAAAACGTATCTATTGTGCGCCGGCCTTAACACTTCTTCCGACTGTGGCACCTATGTATTAGGCGCCTAGGACGGGGCCAATCTAATGTTAGGTATTCTACTCTGAAATCTGAGTAATAGTACGTTCAGACTACAGAGTTATAACATGTTATAGCGCTATCTTGATGGTGGTTTCTGTGTTGCAATTAGTTGACAACCGTTATAACATGTTATAACTCTCTAGTCTGGACAGTGTTTAATAGTACGTTCAGACTACAGAGTTATAACATGTTATAGCGCTATCTTGATGGTGGTTTCTGTGTTGCAATTATTTGACAACCGTTATAACATGTTATAACTCTCCAGTCTGTACAGCGTTTAAGGGGATCTAGTATCATGTAGACAAAACGTCCAATATAACATGTTGGATGTACAACGTGATTAGTCAAATTAGTGTTTTTTTCTATATTGTAGCATGAAATTCATAGTAAAATTGTGATTTTACCGTTTCTACACGCTAACTTGAAAGTACCCATTAATGGTTGAAAAAGACCCATTTTGAAGAAAAGTGGCTTAACTCATTAAATGAGTAAATTTTTTACCCATTAATGAGTATCTGTTACCCATTAATGAGTAATTGTTAATCATTAATGGGTAACAGATACTCATTAATGGGTAAAATTGTTTAATCATTAATGAGTTAAGCCACTTTTCTTCAAAATGGGTCTTTTTTTACTCATTAATGAGTACATTCAAGTTAGCGTGTACTGAATTTTCAACGTTATTATTCACTGACTACATTAAAAATAGTAATGCAAAATGTATTGTTTCTAAACAGTTAAAATAATAATCTGTCGAACTTCAACTTCGATTTTCTCAAAATGGTGGATATGTTACATTGGTCTATTTGAAAAGTGACGCGAGAGTTGATTTTATTTCTCAGTTACGTTTCTGAAAGGTTTTCTACCGTTTTCGAAAGCAACCCTGTGAGCAACGAATCGTCGCACAAAAAAATCCTCGTCGTTATCACGCAACGAAAACAACCGTTGTTCGGTTGCAATCGTTGCAATGCAAAAATAGCCGACTGCGAACAGTCCATTCTCCATTCGTTTAAAAGCCACCGGAAAGTCTAGACATTTTTGCTGCAAATTTCTTCAAGGTATTAATTATTTTCAGGATACTCTAACCTCTGGTGCTGACCCTATAAATTGCATTCAAATTATTCTTCCAGTAAACCCCACATCAAAATGAAGACAAAAGCAGTGTGCGTACTGAGCGGTGATGTCAAGGGCACCATCTTTTTCGAACAGAATGTAAGTATTGTTCGGCATTTTGTTAGCAGTGTCGTCACCTTTCGTATAAATATGCAAGTGCAATTATCAGGAAGGAAAATGTCCGCTTTATGTAACTGTATATAACGTTAAACGTGCTATCGTTCGAATAATGGTGGCCGAATATTCTGGATTCCGGAAGTACTTGATTCGTTGTGAATGCATAATAGTTGGATTTGCTAGAAGAAAATTGTTTTTTTTTTACAAATTCTACCGGTATTGTACTAACAATGGTGCCGTGTGCAAAAATCATTCACTTGAATACGATGATTAGATAGTGGAATATTATTTTCATACCTATGTATACAAGATGTGATATCTTCCGCTTAATCGATTTTCTCAATGAATTGTGTTTGTGTTGGTGTTGTTGTGTACTTAAACATAATATATCTACACCTACTACTAGTTACTTTGTAGGTAAGCAATCTATATTTACAATTACTACCGCGATGCTGATGAAAACATTGCGTCGCGGAATTTTAAAATGTTGTAATACTGCCTATGTGCTATTGAACTTGGCAATGAAGTTCTTGACACAGTTTAAATCAGATTCAATCAGCGGCTGTTCATACATACATTTTAGAAATTTAAATGGACCCTAGACACTCGTCAAACTGGACACGGCCAATGAGAATAACTAAGGCTGTGAACCATTTGCCGAGTTAAATTTAACTCGTAGTTAAAAGTGACATTTCGAAAGTTATTTCTTATGTTCGAAAATCCCCGTGCTGTCGATCGACCGGTTTTCGAGCCACGGTCGTCAAAATTTAACTTTTTGTCTGTCAGAAATAACCACGCTCGGATAGCAGGGTTAATCGATAACTTTCCATCTGTCAAATTTTAACCAAAAGTTAAAATAATCCACCAAATGGTTCAGAGCCTAAGAGAGATTCATTTCGTCTCAGTCGTTTGAGGCATTTCTAAAAACTGCTATTACTTAGCGCTGAGTTTCTTCAGTTTTAAGCTATGTTCAAGTTACAGTTATGTTAGGTAGGTACTATTAAGGCCATTACCACTTCTTAGAAAACCTCTAGTGCTACATGCATTCCACAAATAAATCGCTGGGATCACATGTTCATCATTCAATGTTTGCCAAAATAAACGTTATTTAAACGGGGTTGGTTGGTAATAATCCAATGTGTATGAAAAATGATATACGCAAGGGGGGCAAGGGGTAGTTAATGAACAGACCTCTAACTTGTGAAGAAATTTAGGAGACCCTCAGAAAGAATTTTCTAAACCCTCTTCGTCTCATTTTGCTCCAGGTTTTAATTCTCTTTGGTTAGTTTATACGATTAATGCTAAATCATCGATTAATGGCAAATTCATTAATTATTTGAACCCGACGATCTCATGCCACCGCATCACTAACATACATTATCTGTGTCTCGCGCACATTTCTTCTCTCACATTTGCAGGGTGATTCGGATGCAGTTAAGGTTACTGGTGAAGTTACCGGCTTGAAACCGGGCAACCATGGATTCCACATTCACGAGTTCGGTGACAACACCAACGGGTGCACCTCGGCTGGACCGCACTTTAACCCCCACGGAAAGGAACATGGAGCCCCGGATGCTGCTGTAAGACACGCCGGAGATTTGGGAAACGTTGTGGCCGATGACAGTGGTGCCGCCAAGGTCGATCTCAGCGATAAGCAGATTTCTCTGACCGGACCTTTGAGCATCCTGGGACGTACCGTTGTCGTGCATGCCGATACTGATGATCTGGGTCTGGGAGGTCACGAACTGAGCAAGTCTACCGGAAATGCCGGTGCTCGTTTGGCCTGCGGTGTGATTGGGATTTGCAAAGCATAAATCATCCAAGCTATAGCATCAACGGAGAGTTCAAAAGACATTCTAATGGTCATGTCAAGTCGTATCCTTACTAAACCCCATGGGAAGTGGTATCCGTGTCCTCAACCGGGAATGGTTCTGATAGGTGGTCCCTAAAATATTGTATCAATAAGTTCAATGAACAAATTCCTTAATGTTTATTTTTCTGGTTTGAATAAAACTGAAAGTACATCACTCATTCGGTGACTAACAATGCTTCCGTATCCGAACAGCAATCTCAATTTCTGTACATTCTAAACATTACATCGCCTTACAGGGTGGGTCAGTAGTAATCACCGGGTACGTAGAAGGATTGACCCCGGGTAAGCACGGTATCCACATCCATGAGTTTGGAGACTTTTCACGCGGTTGCCTTTCGACTGGACCACACTACAATCCCTACGGCAAGGATCACGGTGGCCCAGATGATGAGAACCGGCACGATGGTGATTTGGGAAATATTGTAGCGCACATTACGGGACTGGCAAAGATCCAGATGGTGGATCACAAGCTAACGCTGGTTGGCGAGCACAGTATTCTGGGGAGGACACTGTCAATAACGGAATTTGAGGATGATTTGGGCAAAGGAGGTCACGATTACAGCAAAACCACCGGAAATTCGGGCAATCGAATTGCGTGTGCTATCATCGGCTTGGCCAGGGAGGAATTGTTTCCTGAAAGAGGACACCTCACGACGAGGGATTGAATGCTTGTAATTAACTTGATAAGTGCAATAAGACATGCTTTCAACCTGATTTAGGAACCCTTCCATAAGCTCTGAAATCTTGGTCGGGGAATGGAATTGCAGCAAAATATGATTGAGACTTTTGTAAATAATAATAACAGTGTCTAGGTATTTGGATGAATACTTTAAAAGGATAGGAACGCGTAAATACTAAACGATTACAGTGTAGGGCAGCCATAATTTCACTCGGGGGTGAAAGTAGGTGCTTAAATATGTATTAGGTTGCTATCTGACCAAACAAGACAGGTTAGGAATCATGTTCAAAGGAGCCATTTTTAAGAGATGTATTAATACGATAATGAAATGATGAAGGCTTTTGAAACATGAGATTTATTAACAACGTGACTTTCTCAACCTGGTAATAATATCACCAATCATCAATTTAACTGCATATTTATTCCAGCAAGCTATTTAGCGATCCCATACTGTGAATCCTCCGAGGAGGTGTCTTCTCCCATTGCTGAACACGGGTGGGTGAAGATTCAGCGGACCGAAACCCGATCGCCGGAATGTTGTGGTACGGCTGAACTTGTGGCTGCACGGGATGAATATGCATCAGGAGATTTTCAAACGAAGGCAACGAATGATTCTGATCATTTTCCGATGGCAGTTGACTGAGCGATCCCAGACCGCTGTTGACCGATTTGAAGGGTGATGGAACAGAATCTGATATGTCCTCTTGTTCCGATTCCGATGTGCTGTAATCGAACTTGCTATCCTGGAGAACAGCGGCAGAGAGGGAAAGTCGCTTTGTTTGCCTGTGAATTCGATGTTTCTTCACCGGTTGTTCGATGGAACGTTTCGGCGGTTGTTCTACGTGTGCAACGGTAGCCTCCGGTGTGGGTTCTCGTTTCTTCATACTTCGCTCTATAAAGTTTAACATCCTTTCCACCTTTTGATTACTTAACGGTTTTACTCCCGCCAATCTCGGCTCAGCAGGTGGAGCTTCCTTTGGCTGTATGCTATTCATAGTTTCAATAAAGTCCAACGGTTTCATTCGGCATTTCCTGGAGACTTTATCCACCGAACTACTGTTGGAGTGATGCGTCCGACGAACATGTTTGTGTCGACGCAATGGGGACAGTTTCTTAGATTTAATCTTTGGAGAACTAGGAACTTCCGATCCGGGTAGGGGAGGAACTTTGAACACAACTTCAGTCGAAGCACTGCTATCTTTGAACATTTGCAGGCATCGCTTCAGTTGACGGTTTGTAGTGGAAGGATCATTTTGTACAACACGAACCGGGCTTACCAGCACTGATTTCTTTTCCGGTGATGGTTGGCTTAAATCCTGCAGAATATCATCTATGAAACCGGTATCGAAATCCTGAATCAAATTTTTGTAGCTAAGGGAAGGACTGTCGAAAATGTTTAGTCCAGGGCTAACCTCTGCAAGCTTCGAATCAGCATGGCTGTGTTCAGGAGAAAGGAAATGCATGTTGAATGCTATAGGTGGACTTGCTTTTACCGACTGGTGCCCTTCGTGTGCACCTTTGAACGGTGATGGAACGTTCGTAAACGTTGTGCTAAAATCTTCCAATGGCGTTTCTTCGGCAGCTGATGAATAATAGTACACCGTATTATCGGTGTAATTTTTGAACTTGAAATTCTGGAATGGATACATGCAGAATGGCGACTCGCATTTGTAGATGGCTTCCTGCAGGTTCACATACATATACCGAACGGTACTCTGATGATTCCGCGCCATACATTTGGGGCATGGTTCCGTTTCCTCCTATTGGAGTTTTAATCAAGAGTGTCAAACTAAATCCGGCTGTTATGTGTTAAAAACTTACCGTATTTGGATCTTCATTTACGTACACTCTGCGGATGTTGATTGTCTTAGAGGTAGAGGCTTTATTTGCGACTAAGTACGCGAAAAATTCCATCATAAATCCAATAGAAAATTAAACAGGAAGAATTTCGCGATTCGCAAGACACAAAACGTGATTGACGTGAGGATTGACGTATATCGTAAACAAACTTAACGGCGCAGTGACAGACATCCAATGACATTTATATAAGGTCTGGGCCAAAGGGCTTATTGGTGTTAGTGAAATGTGCAAATGGTTAGTGGTGTTCGTATTATATGGCAATGTTTATCTTTTTACACGAAACAGCTGTTGGCAGTGACGTATTTCTATCTGTTCTCAGTATGTTGGCAGTGACGTATATCTATCTGTTAGCAGATGTTCAGCAATGTTTACAACATTTTTGCTTCTAACACCAGCAAGCTGCCTGTTGGCCCAGACCTTATATAAAGTCATTGACAGACATCATGGACGCCCTTCAGAAACGCGTTAGCTATGTATCGCATATACTACGGGCCATTCAAATAATACGTAAATCATGGTAACTGTTACCGCGAGGCAATTAATTTAAAACCAAAACCATAAGATAACCACATAGTTGCATCTCGTTTGCATAGCCCTAGCTAGAGTCGGTGTATAATGAGTCACGCCAAGAGTGAAGCCAAGTCTACCTATTGAACTGTCAAAGCGGCTACCTATCGTGCAAAGTAAATAAACATTACGATGCTATGAAAGGTTCACGAAAGGTATTGCAATAAAATATAAAATATAATCGAAGAAATGAGCATAAACACGCAGTGAGCGTTAAATTGTCATGGGATACGCTCGGTAATGATTAGTAATGAGAATTTATACTATTTTTTGTTAAGATAATTTGACAAAATCACTGATATAATGATTTACTACAGCCGCAGTATTTTTTTCTCTCGCTAGAAGTCATTTGAAGTTGTTGTAGAAGTCCTCTGTTGCCAAGTGAAAAGAATTGGAATCTTTCGAAAACCGTGATGCGAGTTCAACTGTTTTTCTCTTGGCGTGACTCATTATACACCGACTCTAGCCTAGCTGACGTTGATACCAAGGCCAAGAATATGAAATGAAAAGTAGGGCAAAAGGAGCGAGAGCTTGTTTTACATAATCTAACTGCAGTATTTACTTAGGAACGTTTCTGCGTTCAAGTGGGATAAACACGCCCACGCATGGCATGCTTGCGCATCTGGGTTACGTTTAGCTTTCCCTCTCTGTTTATCCTTAACGAAGAATATAATTATAATGTTTAAACGTTACAAATGTCACATTCTTATTTGTAGAGCCAATCAGATCTGAGTTACAAAAATAAATAAACTTACAAGATATCTGAGAAATCCCAGATCTGAGAGGGCATAGTATATAAGGTCTAAACAACACAAATTTACCCTTTCAAGGGCGATCGGAATCCTAGCTAATTAGAATAGGCAAAATTAGGTTAAAGTTCGGTATTGAAAGGGATATGTTAAACCCTGAACAAATCATGTAAAGGTTTTACATAATTATAAGTTGCTAATGCAACACATAGCCGTAAGATCACTTTGTACAATTTTGTTGAATAAAATTAAGTTTCGTAGGTTACTCCAGATTGTTCTCTTTTAGAATCCGAAAGAACTTTTGGCCTAGAAGTGAAAACTTCTCTCCTTAACCGGAGAAAAAAGTAGCTCCTAGAAGAACTCTTGACTTGGAAGTGAAAACTTCTCTCCTTAACCGGAGAAAATAGTAGCTCCTAGAATCGAGAAACAGTGTCTGACCTAGTAAGCGAAAGACTCTCCCTAACCGGAGAAGAAAGTAGCTTTTGGCGGCGACAGTGACAGAAAAAAGAGAAAAATACCCAATTTTGGGAAGACATTCCCGGAAATAAATAACCGAACAATTACTCTCGCATTTTTTTATAAAATAAAATACAATCACAACAAAATCTATTGCCAACAATCGATCCTATTGTACATCACACAAGTAAATTTAAATTGTTGTTATTACAACGAGTATTACCAACAATCAATACGAAACTAACGATTTTAAATTGGTTCACTACTTGACTAGCCTATTGGTCCCAAGCAAACGATTAACTTACCCCATTCTAGTCGAAATTCTAGTACTACGAAATATTTGTTTTGATTCGCTATGAAAGTTTGACAGATAAAATGAGAGGTTAGTGGTTTTTCCAGTGTTTCGAGGGGTGAATCGATTAGCTTGGGACCGAAGCGAGTACCAGAGCTGAGCCAAAAAGTTGAGCACGTTATTTCGGGACCTTCTAGTCTTAGAGTTACCTCTATGGTATTGCAATAGATCTACAATACGTTCCATATAGCATGAATTTTCAACAATAGAAACACAATAAAAATAATGGTATATGACTCCAGTTTGTTCGGGAAAAGTGAATTTTTGTGCGGTTAAGATACATAACAATCCCCTTGTTCTATTGTAGATTTCCCTATTTACCATATATTATATGGGGAAACAATACATTATATGGTTATTTTATCGTTGTGGACAGTACGGTTCATTTTAAATACAATAAATTCTATTGTTTGGTAACAACCCTAATAAAAATAACCATAAAAGAGCTTAACGACGTGTTCGGGGTATCATCCAAACCATTTGTGGGATAGTTTTCCCATCCGGAATACAGTTCGTTTATGGTATTTTTTTTTATATCTTTATTAAGGAGACTTTCAGCCCTGGGCTGGTTCGTCTCCCGAATTTATGGTATTTGTTCATTAGGGAATACATTGCATTGTACTTCTATGGATCTTTTTTTTACGGGTAACGCAAACTATAGAGGGTCTAGTATAAGATAGGAGCGCACAGGCTGGTTTTGAGCCAAACGAATTGTCAAAGCCGGAGCCAATCGAGCAGCGTATATCTTGATTGCATTGACAGTGTTGCAAGAAATCATCTAGCCATAGCAACCGGTGAGCACTCGTGTTTATTTCAGTTACCGTGGGGACGTAATTTGTGATTAGCCCCGGTCCCTTTCAAATTGTATCATTATTTATGTACGGTCCTTATATTTGAAATGACGTTTCACATTCATCTTTGGCCATAGGTTGCCAAGGCAGTTTGTTTTAAATCCGCTCCTCTCTTAAACGCTGTCCAGACTGAGCAGTTATAACAACAATCAATACGAAACTAACGATTTTAAATTGGCTCACTACTTGACTAGCCTATTGGTCCCAAGCAAATCGACTAACGTACCCCATTCTAGTCGGAATTCTAGTACTACACAATGTTTGTTTTGATTCATTATGAAAGTTTGACAGATAAAATGAGGGGTTCGTGGATTTTCCTATGTTTCGAGGGGTGCATCGATTAGCTTGGGACCGAAGATAGTACCAGAGCTGAGCCGTGAATCGATTAGCTAGGGACCGAAGAGAGTACTAGCACAAACGAAGTGACAGACGGAGCGGCTCGAAAACTTTGGTGACGCACCTGCTATTGCAATTTTTCAGTGTACCACATGGCAACACCCTACTACCATAGAGGTAACTCTAAGACCACTGGGTCCCGAAGAAAATCATTATTATTTTTGGCTCACTCAGTACCAGAACAACGGTCCCAAGCAGTCCCAAGCTATTTCACTCACCCCTGCATGTTCTGCATGAATCCACACACCCCTGATGTTATCTGTCAAACTTTCATAGCGAATCAAAACAAACATAGTGTAGTAATAGAATTTCAACTAGAATAGGGTACGTTAATCGTTTGCTTGGGACCAATAGGCTACTAAAGTGGTGAGCCAATTTAAAATCGTTAGTTTCGTATTGATTGTTGGTAACACCATAGAGGTAACTCTAAGACCACTGGGTCCCGAAGAAAATCATTATTATTTTTGGCTCACTCAGTACCAGAACAACGGTCCCAAGCAGTCCCAAGCTATTTCACTCACCCCTGCATGTTCTGCATGAATCGACACACCCCTGATGTTATCTGTCAAACTTTCATAGCGAATCAAAACAAACATAGTGTAGTAATAGAATTTCAACTAGAATAGGGTACGTTAATCGTTTGCTTGGGACCAATAGGCTACTAAAGTGGTGAGCCAATTTAAAATCGTTAGTTTCGTATTGATTGTTGGTAACACGGTACAATAATGAACCAAATAACTGTCTTGTCAGTTAAATTGCAGCAAAATAAACAAAAAAATACTGGGTTTTCCAGTATACGCAACTCGAACCAATTACTGAATGAACAGTTATTTTTGACAGATTGACTTTACGGACAGTTCGGTAATGCAAATTATGTCTGTGATGATTACTGGGCGATCCGCAATTCAAAAACCCAGTAAAATTGTACTGACTCCAGTAATCTAAAGTTAGTGTGTAGAGTTACCTCTATGGTTATAACATATGTTATAACGGTTGTCAAATAATTGCAACACAGAAACCACCATCAAGATAGGGACCGGGGCTTATCACAAATTACGTCCCCTTGGTAACTGAAATAAACACGAGTGTTCACCGGTTGGTAAAAGTATGGACGTCTATCAAAAGTTGTTCCAATCGATCCGTCAAAATGCACCGCTTTGCTCGATTGGAACAGCTTTTTTCAGTTTTGTGGTGACAGTCGTCCATACTTTTACTGTAGGGCTTTAATACAGATTAGCAGAAAAGGCGGCATATGAGACGTCAGTGCAGCCAGTAAAACATCGCTGAAGGGATATTTTTGATAGTTGTACAACTTTTGTTTAAAAAAATTGTACTTTTAAAACCACTAGTCAAAAGTAAAAACAAAACTTTCAATTTAAAAAGCTAATTTTTATTTTTAATATTTTTGTTGTTAAAACTATTAATTTTAAGAAACTTATAATTTGAAAATGCATCATTTTTATTAATACAATTTTCGTTGTTTGTGTGTACTATCTTCGGTCCCAAGCTAATCGAACCACCCCTCGAAACATAGTAAAATCTATAAACCTCTCATTTTATCTGTCAAACTTTCATAGCAAATCAAAACAAACATAGTGCAGTACTAGAATTTCAACTAGAATGGGATACGTTAATCATTTGCTTGGGACCAATAGGCTAGTCAAGTAGTGAGCCAATTTAAAATCGTTAGTTTCGAATTGATTGTTGGTAACTCTAAGACCAGAAGGTCCCGAAGAAACGTGCTTAACTTTTTGGCTTAGCTCTGGTACTATTTTCGGTCCCAAGCTAATCGATGCATGTCCCTCGAAACATTAGAAAATCCACGAACCTCTCATTTTATCTGTTAAACTTTCATAGCGAATCAAAACAAAAATAGTGTAAGACTAGAATTTTGACTGAAATGGGGTACGTCAATCAATTTGCTTGGGACCTATAGGCTAGTCAAGTAGTGAGACAATTGGGTTCTTTAAGGGTATTGAGGTAAATGCATATTCGTAATCTGCATTAAAAATGGAACCCAAACCCAAAATTTCACCAATTTTGGTACACAGGAACTATTTTAAATAAGAACGATTACATTTGCAAAAATCACCTAATTAGCGCCCCTCGGTGTCACTTTGTATGGGAGCGAGCTGTCAGTTTGTCAGTTTAGTGTCAAACAGTGAAGTTGTTAGTTTGCTTTAAATCTTGATTTAATAATCGAGATGAAAGTTTGTGGGTTCGAAAAAAAATATCGCTGTGCTCAGAAAACGAAGCTCTTTCAGATGATATAGAAAAACCGATATATTTTTCAAAATTAAAGAACCCAATTTAAAATAGTTAGTTTCTACCGGTTTGTAATACGACATGCACTAAACTATAGGCACGGGATATACTACAATAGATCAAATCAATGTCAACATTTTAAAAGGGCGAAATTACTGTACTCTCGAATAAAAACTTACACATGCAAAGTAACGAAACCACAGGTAGAGGAGTGATTCTTTTCGTTAATTTGCAGGGGTAAGCCTTAATTTGCGAGAAAGTGGCGGTAGAAGTTGAGATTGTATGCATATGAGTGAGAAGCGAGGGGCACGCAATACAAAGAACCGGTGCATTGAAGTTAAAATACAATCAAAAGTACCTAAAGTAATTAATGCGTTTTGAAGTAGTACTGACGGTAATTAAAATTATCTATCCGTAATTGATGTAATTAAAAGTATTGAAAATGTTATTATTGTACTCCAATTACGAAATTTCAACTGTAGGTAATGTAACTCCAATGTAAAAGTAGTTAATGTTCTACATTGTGTAATTAATGTAATTAAATCAGTAGTTAATGGAATTATTTAATGACAGCCGTTGCCTGCGTTGGAGTTAAAGGTTATTGCGTGCGCCTAGGTGAGAAGTAAATGCAAAACGAAACAATATTTCCCATGCTTGTCAGAGGCTCGAGAGTCCTTGAGTCCCCTCACTTTTACAAAATATATATGTAATCAAAGGACGATCAAGTCTCTCTCAATTTTTCAAAATGTATTTTTGGACATATATTTTTTTATGATGTTAATGTTATCAATTTAAAATGATTGTCCGGGAAATGATATTCCTGGTGAAGATTATCAGGGAAATGTAATACAATTGTGTTTTCTCATAAACGTTTCTCCAGTTATTGTTAAATTATATTTACTTTTCCAGGAAATTTTCACAAATAGATGGATTTTTTTTCGGAAAGATACACTGTAACTTCATCGCTGCATGGTTTATTTGTCACGTTTCGATAACAATAAAAATAATAATTTTATGTACAATTACAACGTCGATACATCGAATACTAAATGGAACATTATTACTTTCTTGAATCACATTGAAGTTTTGTAGGTTGCCAACTTTTTCAAAGTTTCCAGCGCATAAAAATGATAAATCGAAAAAAAATACATTTCCAGAAAACGTTTGTGGAAAATGACTGAGACTTAGAATGTTAGTATAAGTATGAGTAATGTATGAGGGTTTGGTTATCGTTAAAATTATTAAATAAATAATGATCTCAGCAGTAGAATATAATCGATTGGATGACGATAATGTAGTCGAATGGCGAATGAAGGTTAGAAGTGGGAAGAATAAATAAATTATTAAAAATATCAAATAAATAGATTTGTCTAAGTTCTCCTAGCACGGTTGAGAATGAGTGATGTTTTGCTTAGTTTTATCGCTTTTTGCACTTAAAATGGGGTTTCTTTCTCGGTATCCCCGTGGGACCGTCCGTCAGTTCGCAGATATGTAGCCCGATCCGCTTCAATGGATGGCATCGGTTTTTCGGATTCCCCCACCGTCCGTTGAACTTGAGCCATTTGGGATTGAGTGATGTTCGCCCTGCAATAGTACAAACAGAACAAAAAGACAACATTTAAAATTACGTCTTCCTGCTTCCAGAAACCTTACCCCTGGAATCATTTTCGTGTATGATTTCGACACTTTTCCACGTGGTCCACGGTGTTCCGAAGCCGTTCACGTCGTACAAACGGGGAACGCGGACGTATTTGTGCTTTCCAGGGGCAGTCCACAGGCCGTGGGATCCCTCGGCAGCAAACAGAACCGGATGATTTCCGGAAGTGATGACCGTCTTTGGGAATGTAGGCCTCTGCAGTATTCCCTTCCGTGTTTCTTGGCTGCGATATTCGAAGGTCCCCGTCAGTCGTTCGTAGGAGTAGAAGGCCCCGGCATCGTGTGCTGAGACATACATTTCCTATAGGAATCGGGGCGAATGAAACATAATATGAGCAGTTTTAAAAAATATGCAAAAATGTGAAATTTTTGGGGGTGAACCAAATATAAATAAATAAATATTGGTTCAAACAGCACAATGGATTCTAAATCAACTAATTTGGCTGCAATCTGAACCTGTCCAGCCCCGTTCTAGCCCCAGGCCCAAAGGTGATATAAAAAATGTTAGTTTTTTTTTTACTAAAATGAACTATGACCATATTATATGGCAAGTTTTGCTACAGATAAAGAACAGAATGAGCCCAACCAATGACATGTAGTTGGGCTTTAGCTCTGTGTTACAATTTTTATTACGGAGCTGGAGAATATCGAGAATTAGACTTCTTGGAGAAAAATTTTCTTCATATCTGAATCGGGTTGTTTGAAATGTGAGATTTATTGAGTGGGGCATGCGCTGATGATAATTTTCAGCACAGTAGTGGGGCTCCTTATTTTGGTTTGCGCTGTTATTCGAGTGTGTGAACGCAGTCTTACGCGGAATAATGTGCTGCTTCGGCAAGCATTAGGATGTGCGTAATAGTAGTAAAATTACGTTTATTTCTGTTGTTTACGATTGTACTGACGGCAGGAATGCGAAACAGAACAACAGCGAACGGATTCGGATCAGTTGTGGAAAAATAAAGAGCACACGCGAGATTAAACGTTTATCTTATTTATTGTCGAGCACTAAAAACACCGATCAGAACGCGGTAGCGAAACTTTGTATTGTTCTGATTGTTCACCCTCATGCCAAGATGAATATATGTACAAAGGTGTACACAACAAACAAGGGGTGAATCCTGGGGTGAATAAAGTGGTAAACCTTGCACATTCCACACTCCTCCTCAACGCTTTGCCACTTCACTGATTCTTCTCCAATCCCAGCATCTCGAAAAAGCGCCCATGCTTCTCCGGACCCAGGGGCTTCGTCATGATGTCGGCGATCATAATGTCCGTGGGACAATATTCCAAAACGATATCACCTTTTTCGCATAGCTCCTGGATGAACTTTTCCTTCGTACTGATATGTTTGGAACGCCGGCTCGATCGCTCCGTTTTCACGAATGCCAAACACCCTTGGTTGTCCTCTTTCAACACTGTCGGATCTCCCAGCGATTCACCGAAATCAGTTAGCAGCTGTCTTAACCACACAGTTTCTTGACAGGCTTCTGACAGGGCGACATATTCTGCCTCCATGGATGAAAGGGTAACACACTGTTGACGGCGGCTAGCCCACGAGATTAAGCCACCATGATAGTAGAATACTGATCCTGACGTTGATCTTCTGCTTGCAGGATCACCCGCCCAATCTGCATCGGAATACCCGACTAAGCCTTGATCGACAGCTCCACCTAAACGCAGATAGCAATCCGACGTAGCCTTCAAATATCTCAGAACGCGTTTAGCAGCGGTCCAATCTGCTTCGCTGGGAGCCGAAAAACTTCTACCAAGAATCGCCGTGGACGCAGCAATATCCGGTCGAGCAACAACCGACAAGTACAGCAGTCCACCAACTAGACACCTATATTTGGTAGCATCTTCGAACACTGCACTGTTGTTTCCATCTTTCAAAAAACCCTGATCCATCGGCGATCTAGTAGTCTTCGCTTCATGCATACCGTTCTTCGAAATGAGCTTCTCGATGTAATTCTTCAGCCGTATCCTGTAGCAATCTTCTCCACGTAGCACTTCTATTCCCAAGAAATGGCGAACTTCACCGAGATCCGTTAATTCGAACTCGTTACACAGACTGTGAACGATCTTCTTCACGATAGCATCCGATTTTCCAGATAACAACATATCATCCACATATACGAGCAGAAACACTTTTGTCTCACCTTCCATCTTCACAAACAAACACTGATCTGCACTAGATGCCTTGAATCCGAGCTTCGTGAGAACACTCTTCAACCTTGTGTTCCAGCATCTGGCCGATTGACGAAGGCCATAAATGCTTCGTTTTAAGCGGCACACTAACTCCTCCTGTCCTCGAGCTACGGAACCCGGTGGCTGCCGCATAAAAATTTCCTCTTCCAGCAATCCATTGAGGTAGGCTGTCTTAACGTCGAGGTGCCGAACCACCAACTTCTGGCTTGCAGTAATGGTGAGAAACATCCGCAAACTGGCTTGAAGTGTCACCGGGGCAAAAACCTCATCAAAATCTATCCCGAACTGTTGGGTGAAGCCCTGTGCTACCACCCTGGCTTTGAATTTCACCACCTTGTCCTCTTCGTTACGCTTTACCTTAAAAATCCATTTGGATCCCACCACTTTACGGCCTGCAGGTAGCGGTACCAACTCCCATGTTTCGTTTCGTTGGAGGGAATCCAATTCTTCCGTCATTGCGCCACGCCACTCTGAGCTCTTCATAGCTTCTTTGTAGCTTACAGGTTCCTGCACTGCACAAGCTGCTATTCCTACGACGTAATCCTCAAGGAGGTGGGGATTCACTCCTTTGTTTCCCCTCTGCGACCGACGAACCAGGTCCGAACCTTCAGCTTCGTCATCTGATGCGTCAAAGTACTCGTCGTTGATCAAACTGGTATTCTCATCTTCCTCATTACTGGGTTCCTCCTTGAACGGCCGCAATTCTATGTCGTCTTCAACTTCCATTTGCTCCATAGAAACTGGGAACTCCACCGAGGATGTTCCGTTCCCGAGTTCCAAGAATCGGGCATCTCTGCTAACGGTGATTTTGGCAGTTTCTCGGTCAACGAATCTGTACCCCTTGTGTTCCATGGAGTACCCCACGAATGTGAGTTTACGAGCCTTTCCGTCAAGTTTGCTCCTCTTCATACCTGGCACATGTACATACGCAACGCTACCGAAAATCCTAAGGTGTCCCAGATCCGGCTTTCGTCCCCACCAGAGCTCGTAGGGAGTCTTCGGCACAGACCTAGATGGCAATCGGTTCTGGAGATACGTTGCGGTAAGAACAGCTTCGCCCCAGTATCGCTTCTCAAGACCGGAATCAAGGAGCATGCATGTTGCCATTTCCGTGATCGATCTATTTTTCCTTTCGGCAACACCGTTGGACTGGGGGGAATACGCGGTAGTATACTGCGGAGTGATACCTTCTTCCATGTAAAATTTCCGCAGTCGCTTATTATCAAATTCTCCCCCGCCATCGGAGCGCACAACCCGTGGTTTACGTCCAAAATTGTTCTCTGCCCAACGCACATAGTCGACAATGTTCTTCGTTGCTTCCGACTTGTGCTGCAGCAGGTAAGTGACTGTGAACCTGCTATAGTCGTCGATGATGTGCATCACGTATCTGTTTCCACTAGGAGTGACGGTTTTCATCGGGCCGCAAAGGTCCGTGTGGACAATATCAAGGACTTGTAACGACTTCCTTGTGGTTACTTCTGGGAATGGGGCACGGGATGCCTTCCCCTCTAGACAACATTCACACACAAGTTTTAAACTACAGTCACTCACCTGCATTCCGGTCGCAAGCTGTTCCTTACCGATGCGCTCTGCAGCCGCCCAGTCGCGGTGCCCTAAACGCCGATGCCACTGATGTTGACAGTTCTCCTTGTGCTGTCCCGATGTTGCCTGCAACGATGATTCAGCAACTCTAAGGTGATACAGACCACCATGGCGGAAACCCGTCGCCACGACAGTCCCAGCTTTCACGATTCTGCAGCCTTCATTGTTGAAATGCACTTCGAAGTTCTTCAAAGTCAGCCTCTCCACAGAGATTAGGCTGGTCGACAATCCCGGCACATATTTCACATTTTCCATGTCAATCTTGATCACTTCATTGTTACCGTCAATACCGTGTATAACGCCACTACCTTCCCCAAGGATCTGAGTCTTGTTCCCATCGGCCATGGTGATCCAGCCACCAGGAAACTCATTCAGGGAGGTAAAAAACGACTTATTGTTCGTCATATGTGCACTAGCACCACTGTCTATGATCCAAGATTGACACTTTCCACTCGAAACGATAAACGCAATTCCTCTGTTGTCACTTTGGGCAGTTTTAGCCTTCACTTTATCACTTCTCTCCTTCTTGGAGGAACTTCCTTCTTCTTTCTTCAGCAACCGGCAATTTCTTCGGAGATGCCCCGGTTTATTACAGTAATGGCAAATACGGGTCTCCTTACTTCCCGACTTGTACTCGGCGGAACGCATCGCCTTTTCGGATTTCACTGAAACACTTTCTCGCTCAAGCCGCCGGTGGTATTCGTCCGCGATTTTTGATTTCACTACATCGATCGTAACATCATCCCCGGCGCGGCTGTCAAGAGCGGTAACCAACCCATCGAACGAAGGCGGCAGACTACGCAACAACATGCAGATCTTCGTATCTGCATCAAGCACTGTACCGGCCGCGTCAAGACGGTCAAACAACTCGTCAATTTCCACTAGGTGCTGTTCGGTATCACTTCCTTCCGACATATTTGTCGAGCAAAGCTTTTTCAAAAGCGAAACGCGCACTGAACGAGATGACTTTTGATGGTAGTTCTTCAGCGCCACAAATACATCGTGAGCAAGTACACAGTTCTTCACAATGGGGAGCTGGCTGTCTTCAAGTAGCAGAATGATCGTGGCTTTTGCTTTCCGGTCATTCGTCTTCCATACCGCAGTACGAACATTTTCCGCCGGGGAATCACTGACAACAACGTCCCACAAATCTTCCCGACACAATAAACTTTCCACTCGTATCTTCCACGTAGCCCAATTCGTTCCATTGAGCTTTGGAACCGAGAACTTCGCGTCCGTCATTTCGATTTAATTTTTCAACTTACAATCAAAAAAGAACAACACTCGCGGCTCGAGTCCTTCTCGAACGTTCTTTCCACACATCGCACGTAGCGGTAAGCACAAAAGAATGGCGTCACACCGGGCCAAAACTTTTCAACGTTTTCACTTTTCGATCCGATCCTACTGGGCCCATAACCTGACGGCAGGAATGCGAAACAGAACAACAGCGAACGGATTCGGATCAGTTGTGGAAAAATAAAGAGCACACGCGAG